GGCATAAGCCACGGCACTGAACCTTCTTCCTTTTTCATAGTATGCCAGATTCTCAAATGTAACTTTATTTTCCTTGAACATAGTAACATTATTAGTTTAAAAGCTGTGTCTGATAGCATCTGTGGCAGTGCTTTCTCTGATGTTGACCCTGAGTGTGTCACCTATTCTCTGCATTAGATTTCTTCCATCTGAATACTTGAGTGGTTTCTGATTTTCAGGTTAGAATCTGACTGATACACTGCTGTCTGCATGCTCTTAACCTGGGCCTTAGAATTTTCTACAGAATCCTTTCACAGCCCACAGCCCCTCTTTGTATTTTGTTAACTTTCAATAAAAGGGAACTTGGTTCAAGAACTATAGAAGTTGTTGTCTAAACCCAAGATTCTAAAGTGAATCCAAACTGGGAAAGAAGAAAATCCTCCCCTCAAGTTCCTGGCCTTAGTAAAGAGTGTGTGTGTGTGTATGGCACACTGCCATGCTTTCCATTTTATTTCAGTTGGTCTCATCTGGCAAGTTCATGTGTGTGTGTGTGTGTGTGTGTGTATGGCACACTGCCATGCTTTCCATTTTATTTCAGTTGGTCTCATCTGGCAAGTTCATTTCCTTCCACAAAACAATATCTAGGATACAAGACAAGAGGTTAGCTATTTGCTAATAGTTAACACATTTTGGGGTCATTTCAATTCAGTATTTTTTATTTTTCATTCAGAAGTCATTTGAATAACTAAGAAGTTATTTATTAGACCCTGTCCTCAGAATATACCATTGAAACAAAAACCAAAAAACCCTCAGTGAGCACAAATCATGGAGTTCCAGGTTCCAGCTTCTTTTTCAGGATGCTTTTTTCCTCTAAAAGCAAAGATTGACTCGAGCATGTAACAACAGAAATACTGTGATAGCAATACTATACTAACATTTTTATTATTCCTGTGATCTTAACACCTTCCTCCCCCACCCCAACACACACACACAAATTGTTTTAGCTACTTTTTTTTTTTTTTGAAGCGGATTCTTGCTCTGTCGCCCAGGCTGGAGTGCAGTGGCGCGATCTTGGCTCACTGCAACCTCCGCCTCCTGGGTTCAAGCGATTCTCCTGCCTCAGCCTCCTGAGTAGCTGGGATTACAGGAGCCCGCCACCACGCCCGGCTAATTTTTGTATTTTTAGTAGAGATGGGGTTTCACCGTGTTGGCCAGGCTGTTATAGAACTCCTGACCTTATGATCCACCCACCTGGGCCTCCCAAAGTGCTGAGATTACAGGCATGAGCCACCGTGCCCGGCCGTTTTAGCTACTTCTATGGGAAGAGTTACATTTCCCAATTCCATTCTCATATCTACCCACACCTAGAATCCTGCAAGTTATCTAGTTTATCTTGTCTGGAAACCGGCTGATTGACATCCAGTGGGGCTTTGAGGGGCATCTTCAAAGCCTTCCCAATCCCCAGCTCCTCAACTCCCTCTGAAGCTGACTGCCCCTTTTCATAGCCAGTGCATTTAGGAGAAGCCAGGTATCTGCCCCTGAACACACTAGGCGTTGGCTAAGACCACTGTCCACTGTGTCTAAACAGTCAGGCACACGGGACAGTGGACAAACACCATGGCTAGAACATCTTCACAGAACATGCCCTTGATGACCCAGTGACCTTGTGGCACTTACTGTGGAGGCCTCCACCTGGGGACCCTCGGCTCACCTCTCTTGCCTTCCTGACATTCTTTAGGCAGTCCCACAGCTGTAGTATTTTAGGTGGGCTGGGGCTGGTGCAAAGGGACCACAAGCATATACCCATTGTAAGGTTAGTTCTTCATTAATTAACCAGGGATTCAAAATCTTATCAGAAGGAAAATGGTGAATGGGGCAGAGAAAAAACAAATTCACTGTGAAGCTGTCCTTGGTGCTGGGAGTTCTTAAGGGGGGTAGGAGCCAACCAGGTCTGGAACATTTATTTCTTGTCAGTACACAACCATTTTACTTTTTATTTATTGTAACTTTTATTTTAGGTTCAGGAGTACATGGGCAGGTTTGTTACATAGGTAAACTGTGCATCACAGGGGTTTGGTGTTGACTGTTTCATCACCCAGGTAATAAGCACAGTACCCAATAGGTATTTTTTCTGATTCTCTTCCTTCTCCTGCCCTCCACCCTCAAGCAGGCCCCAGTGTCTGTTGTTCCCCTCTTTGTGTCCATGTGTTCTCATTGTTTAGCTCCCACTTGTAAGTGAGAACATGCAGTATTTGGTTTTCTGTTGCTGCATTAGTTCTGTTAGGATAATGGCCTCCAGCTCCACTCATGTTTCTACAAAGGATGTGATATCCTGTTTTATGGCTGCATAGTATTCCATGAACACAACCATTTTAAACTAAGGGATTAGGTGACTTATGAAAGAAACTTAAGTAATTTGTGCCTTCACACTTTAAGGAATTCATACAAACAGGCTGTCATGGTTCCTGAACCAGCACAGTATCACCATGGCAGCATGTGAGAGGAAGTTGAGGCAGTACCTTGGCACTGTTTTTAGCCACTGCTCTATACCAGGCCTTTACATGAGTGCTTTTGCTTCTAAACATATGCTTTTGATTTTTAACAAAAGGAAGCTTACTATATATACATGATATTGGCACATTTGCGTTTAGACAGTAGCTCACCTTTCTGTAAAAGTCAACATCTTTCTGCATTCTTTCTAAGGGTTTCCTAGTAAACTCATTGTATAGTTATATCATACTTTACTTAACCCCCTAATGATAAATGTTTTAGTGGTTTTCAGTTTTTGTTAGTATCAACAGTGTTGCAGTAAAATACATTTTTCTATCCTGTATGTTATTCTACAAATACATTTCTAAAGGCAAAATTGCTGAGTTAAGATTTGCTTTTAAATTTTTGCTAGATATTGGAAAATTGCTCTCCAAAAATATTGTAACAATTTATACTTTTGACAATAGTGTATGAAACTTTGTTTCTCCACACCTTCACAAACACTAGGTATTATCAACATTTTTCACCTTTTACCAACTGATGGTTGACAAATGCTGCTTTTTAAAAAATTGTATTTTGAAACAATCTAACCTTGCCAAAGTAGTATAAAAGTTTTTTCTTCCTGAACCATTTGAGAATAAGCCGCTGATATGATGCCCCATCACCTCAGAATACTTTTGAAGGTGTATTTCCTACAAGAACCTTCTGCATCATCAGCATACAACCATGAAGATTAGGGAATCAACATCAATGCATTACTACTACCTAATGCTCAGACCCCATCCAAGTTTCTTTCATTGTCCTAATGTCCTTTAGAGCAAAGATTTCAGTTTAGAATTGTGCATTGTTAGTGTTTGCGTCTTTTTAGTCTCCTTCAATCTAGAATAGTGCCTCAGCCCTTCCTCAGCTTTCATGACTTTTCAAAATTACGGGCCCTACTCACCTCGCTTGGCAGTGACACCCTCACTCCCTGCATGGTCCCCTCTTCACCTTGCTTGGGCACTGAGACCTATGCCAGGCCATGCCCCACCACCACATGGGCCTCCTTGACTCTGTCCTCACCCTGCTTGGGCTCCAACACCTAGCTTCGGGACACTGAAGCTCTGTCCCCTCACAACAGAATCCCATCTTGTTTGTTTTTGTGTAATGGGAGCTGAATTGTTAAGGAAGGGAAGAGAATTCTTTTTTTTACCTCTTAGTAGAAATTTAAGATTTTCTATACATAGGTCCAGTTAAGTTTATTCCTAGCTTCAATAAATGTTTAAAGGAGAGTAAATATTCTTCACAACTTTACATCAAGTTCATTGGCAAATGTAAGGTTTTTTTCTTGAGGGAAGCTTTAACAGAGCCCAGGAACAGGACCTTGTGCTTGAAGGTGCATCAGCTGAAACAGGAAGTTCAGGAGGGTGGAGGCTCAGGGTGGTGGAGGTTCAGGAGGGTGGAGACTCGGGGGTGGAGGCTCAGGAGGGTGGAGGCTCAGGGGGGTGGAGGTTCAGGAGGGTAGAGGCTCAGGAGGGTGGAGGTTCAGGGGGGTGGAGGTTCAGGGGGTGGAGGCTCAGGGGGATGGAGGTTCAGGGGGGTAGAGACTCAGGGGGGTGGAGGCTCAGAGGGTGGTGGAGGTTCAGGAGGGTGGAGGCTCAGGAGGGTGGAGGCTCAGGGGTGGAGGTTCAGGAGGGTGGAGGCTCAGAGGAGAGTGGCCGTCCCTACTCATGAGCACCATCCCAAACATCCCTTCGAGAGAAGCCAGACATTTGACAGAAACTGAAAAACAGACTGTTGGAATTATGCTGCTTCTTGAAGGCCTGGATGCAGATTTTCAATTATGGAGTCTTCTCCCCAAGGCAAATTCATCCCAGAAGAGTCTTGTGGGGAAAATTCCAGTAAGTTGAACACTTAATTATCATAAATTTCTTTTTTTTTTTTTTTTTTTTTTTTTTTTTTTTTTTTTTTTTTGAGACGGAGTCTTGCTCTGTCACCCAGGCTGGAGTGCAGTGGCCGGATCTCAGCTCACTGCAAGCTCCGCCTCCCGGGTTTACGCCATTCTCCTGCCTCAGCCTCCCGAGTAGCTGGGACTACAGGCGCCCGCCGCCTCGCCCGGCTAGTTTTTTTTGTATTTTTTAGTAGAGACGGGGTTTCACCGTGTTAGCCGGGATCGTCTCTCGATCTCCTGGCCTCGTGATCCGCCCGTCTCGGCCTCCCAAAGTGCTGGGATTACAGGCTTGAGCCACCGCGCCCGGCCAATTATCATAAATTTCAATGGGGGAAATTGTTATGCATTCCAGAGCCTCTGAATTAACATACCTGTATGCTAAAATCCTTCACATCCCAATAGATGGACTGAGTTAATCTCTGCTAAAAGTTAACTCAGTGATTAGGAGCTTCCCTTCAACGGTTAGCCTAAAAAACAGCTGTTTGCTACCTGACAGCTTTCCCCACCCCTCACTGCCAACACCTGTCATTCAGCTTCCTACGCAGTGTGAGGTACCACACTCTTCAGTTTGTGCTCACAGTCAAGCCTTACAGCTCAAAGCTCAGATCAGTAGACCTTTAATCCAAAACAAACCCACAAAACAGGAAATTTGATAGATCAACATAGTGCCAGTGATGATGTCACATGCAGTGAATAAGCCATTGTATGGAAAAGCAGAAAACAAGATGGGGGGAGGACACAGGGAGAGTCACTGCTGTTGGATTCATCTTCAAAGACGGGCCACACGGGGGTCTCATTTCGTGGCCCTCAGCCACTCACCAATGTTTTGCAAGCTGTTTCATGCTTGTTAAATTAATTCTTCATCCAGTCGATGGCCTGAAATAGAGACTGGGATAAGCCTGAGTTGGCAGAAGCTTCATCTGCTCTGGGAAGCAGGTGGTAGGTGGCAGGGCTATGTCTGTGGACACTGAAGGACCTGGCTCTCAGGTGGCCACACATGTATCTGCAGAAAAATGTAGGTTTTATAGCTATTCAGATTCATTTCTGGAGATTCTCATTTGATAGCACAGGAATGTTATGCAATGTTAATAAGTATAGCTTTTTTATCAACTTGAATAAAATGTATTCTTACAGGAAATTAATTGAATGCTGTGGCAGTCCCTACTCATTGCCTCTGCAAAGAGTAGCCCATAGGTCTGCAGCCCACCTCTGTTGTCACCATCCAGCCCCCGTGGCTCTGGAATGACAACACAGAATGCTTTCCAAGGCAGCGTGGCCCTTACTTCAGTTTACATGTTCATGAAAAAACGGGTTTCGCCATGTAGGCTGCTTTGTGGCTTGACCTCTGATGTGGGTTCACTTGTGCCCCCTAAAAATATATGTTCAAGTCCTAACCCCCAGTACATACGAATGTGACCTCATTTGGAAATTGCATCTTTACAAAGGTAATCAAATTAAGGTCACACTGGATTTGAGGGGCCCTGAATGCAAAGACTTGTCCTTATGCAGAGTGAGAGATTTAGAGACACAGGGGTTTACACCGTGTAAAGACTGGGGTAGGGATTGGAGTTGTGTTACTACAAGGAAAAGAATGTCAGGGATTGCTGGGAGCCACCAGAAGCTGCAAGAGGCAAGAAAAGATTTGCCTCTAGAGCCTTCAGAGGGCGACGGCCCTGCTAACAACTTGATTTCAGGCTTCTGTCTGCCAAGTCTGTGAGAAAATAAATTTCTGTTACTTAAGCTTCTCAGTTTGTAGAATGAATAGTCATAGGTCACTTAACAACGTGGATACGTTCTGAGAAATGCATCATTAGGCCATTGTGTGAACATCATAGAGTGCACAAACCTAGTTAGGAGAGCCTGATACACAGCTAGGCTGCCTGGCATGGCCTACTGCTGTGAGGCTGCAAACCAGTACAGCATGTGACTGTGCCCTGAATACTGTAGGCAACTGTAACAATAAGTAGTTGTGTGTCTAAACATAGAAAAGGTACAGTAAAAAATAGTGGTGTTATAATTGTATGGACTACTGTCAAAAACACAGCCCACTGCTGACTGAAATGTTATGTGGTATGTGACTACTTTGTTACGGCTGCCGTAGGAAATTAATACAGGCTGCAAGAGCCAAAGAATCTTAATTTTTTTTTTTTTTTAGAATTTCAAAGTTTCATACTGCACTTGAAATTGGGGTCAGAACATCAATTTGGTAATGAAAGTGTCACATAAATGATCGGCTCAGTTGAAACTGGCTGAGGACAACTGTACAAGAAATTTATTGTCAAAAACATTTATTTTTTCAAATGCTAATAATAAGTATTAACCATTTCGGATGGTTTGCATGTGCTAGGTTTTACTTATGTTAACTCATTTTACCTCACAACAGTTACCTTGGTGAGAAATTATTATCCACATTGATATCCAAATATCAATCCACAGAGGAAGAAAATTGCTTAAGACCAAAGTCATAGTTATCAAATGTCAGGGTCAGACCCAGACCCGGGGCGGTCTGCCTGCAGAGCAGTTTTGGCGACCACACACTGCGACCAAAAGAGCAGGGCAAATCCCATTCTCCATGAAGAAACGCTGTTTGGAGATGCCAGGGATACCATTTATGCTTTAGGTCTTACCTGTGTGTGATGGGGTTGAGAACGAATGTCCTCCATGAAGCAGCTGTAAATATTAACAGCTGTATTAGTAAAGTTTCTCCAGAGAGACAGAACTAACAGGAGAGAAAGAGAGAGATGGATGAGTGGGGATTTATGGGAATTGGCTCATACAATTATGGTGGCTGAGACGCCTCACAATATGCCATCTGCAAGCTGGAGAATCAGAGAAGCTGGTGGCATGGCCCGATCCAAGTTGGAAGGCCTGAGAAACAAGGAAGCACATAGTATAACTAAGTTCAAGGCTAAAGGCTTGCAAGCCCCAGAGGGCCACTGGTGCAAGTGTCAGAGTCCAAAGGCCAAAGAAGCTGGAGTTCTGTGGTACAAGGGCATGAGGAGAAGGATGTCACAGCTCTGAAAGAATTCACCCTTCTTCCCCCTTTGTGTTCCATCTGGGCCCGTAGGTGATTGGATAGTACCTGCCTACATTGAGGGTTGATCTTCCCGACTCTGTCCACTGAGTAGGCATTCTCAAGTCTTTATCCTTGAACTTACTTCCACCATGTGCTTCCTTATTTCTCAGGCCTGCCAACTTAGACCATGCTACCAATTCTTTCTTAGAGTTCTCAAGGCTGGCAAGTCCAAGATCAAGGTGCAGGCAGATCTGGTGTCTTAGGAGAGCCCACCTGCTTCTGGTTTGCAGATGGCAGTCTGTGTGTGGTAGTCTCACATGGCAGAGAGAGAGCGCAAGCTTTTGTGTGTGTTTTTGTAATGCCACTGCCATGACCTGAATGTTTCCTCTGAAATTCACCCATACAATAGTCTCCTCCAAAAACATGGTCCTTCCCAGAAAGAGTGCTTCCCCAGCCATCTAGGCATCCCTCAATCCTGTCAAGTTGACATCTAAAACTATCACCGGGACACTCTACAAGTAACTGGTAAACCCACCAGAAGATCAGGGTCCAGATGCAGAAAGCAGGTGCTGATGAGTTTTAAAATATCTTGGGGTCTCTTAGTGGGCTGCTAAAACAAATTACCATAGACTGGGCGGCTTAAACACACATTTCTTTCTTACTGTTCTGAAGGCTGGCAAGTCCACGATCAAGGTGCAGGAGCATTTGGTGTCTGCTGAGGGTCCACCTGCTTTCTGGTTTGCTGATGCCAGTCTTCTTGTGGTATACGCACATGGCAGAGGGCAAGCTCTTGTGTGTCTTTGTATAAGGCCACTGCGATGGTCTGAATGTGTCTCCCAAGATTCACGTGTTAGAAACTTGATCCCCACCAGCTACATGGAGGCGGAGGTGGGAGGATTGCTTGAGCCCAGGAGTTTGAGGCTGCAGTGATCTATGATCCTGCCACTATACTCCAGCCTAGGCAACAGAACAAGGCACCATCAATCAGTCAGTCAGTCAATACATAAATAAGTCCATCCATCAACCCCCAATGCAACAGCTGTGAGAGAACAAATATCTGTTCTTTATAAATTACCCAGTCTCAGGTATTCTGTTACAGCAGCACAAAATGGACTAAGACAGCCACTAATCCCACTCAAGAGGGCTCTACTATCATGGCCTAATTATCTCCCAAAGTTCCCACTTCTATTACCATCACAATGGGGTTAGAATCTCAACATAGAAACTTTGGGGGCACACAAGCATTCAGTCCATAACATGGAGCGTCTTAGCTTGGGTTGCTATAACAGATACCATGCCAGCCGGGTGCAGTGGCTCATGCCTGTAATCCCAGTACTTTGGGAAACCTAGGCAGGTGGATCACAAGGTCAGGAGTTCAAAACCAGCTTGACCAACATGGTGAAACCCCGTCTCTACTAAAAATACAAAGCCAGGTATGCTGGTGGGCACCTGTAATCGCAGCTACTCAGGAGGCTGAGGCAGGAGAATCGCTTGAACCCGGGAGGCAGAGGTTGCAGTGAGCCAAGATCGCGCCACTGCACTCCAGCCTGGGCAACAGAGCGAGACTCTATCTCAAAAAAAAAAAAAAAAAAAAACACCATGTCATAGAGCTGTGGAGAAATTTATTTCTCAGTTCTGGGGGTTAGAAGTCTGAGACTGTGGTGCCAGCATGGTCAGGTTATGGTGAGGGTCCTCTTAGAAGGTACAGATGGCTGCCTTCTTACTGTATCCTCACATGGCAGAAAATCAGCAAGCTAACTTTTTTTTTTTTTTTTTTTTGAGACGGAGTCTCACTCTGTCGCCCAGACTGGAGTGCAGTAGCGTGATCTCGGCTCACTGAAAGCTCCGCCTCAAGGGTTCACACCATTCTCCTGCCTCAGCCTCCCAAGTAGCTGGGACTACAGGCACCCACTGTGACGCCCGGTTAATTTTTTGTATTTTTAGTGGAGACGGGTTTCACCATGTTAGCCAGGATGGTCTCGATCTGATCTCATGATCTGCCTGCCTCAGCCTCCCAAAGTGCTGGGATTACAGGCGTGAGCCATCTCTGTTCTCTTAGGCAGTCATTCCATTCATGAGGGCTCCACTCTCATGACCTAATTACCTCCCAAAGGCCCCACCTCTAAATACTATCACACCGGGAAATAGATTTCAACATTAATTTTGGGGTGACAGTCCATTTGTAACATGGAATGAACCATGAGACTGCTGACCAGAACATGGAAAGTGCAGCCTTGTAAACAGCCCCTTTGGAGCCTGGCTGATTGCCAGACACAACAACCAAACCCTCACCTTAACCCCCACCCCCAGCCACACTGGAACCTGTACTGAGAGGCCACCCTTTCCCTGCAGGACCAGCTCCTAGAACAGCGGTTCTCAAACTTAAGCAAGTGTCAGAATCACCTGAAGGGCTTGTTAAAACACAGGCTGCTGGGCCCCACAGTTTATGATCCAGTAAGTCTGGGTGGCTGATAATTTGCATGGTTACAAGTTCCTGGGTGATGCAGATAACATTTTGAGAACTGCTGTTTCAGAAGTTCTCCACATTAAAGTCTGCCAGTCCTGACTGGTACCTAAGGGGTCATGAGGTAGTCAGTGCACAAGATAGAAAGTGAAAACTCTGTCTTCAAATTTAAAACAAGACTTCCTAACACCAATAGGTAGCTTTTGATAAAGGAATTATCAAGCATGACTGTATTCATTTCTTATTGCTGCTGTAACAGATTACTACAATTTGGTGGCTTACGACAATGTAAATTTATTATCCTAGAGTTTTGGAAATCAGAAATGGAAGCCCAGGTGCAGTGGCTCATGCCTGTAATCTCAGAACTTTGGGAGTCCAAGGCAGGAGGATTGCCTGGGCACAGGAGTTTCAGACCAGCCTGGGCAACATAGTGAAACCCCATCTCTACAAAAAATCCAAAAATTAGCCGGGCATGGTGGTGCACGCCTGTAGTCCCAGCTACCTGGGAGGCTGAGGTGGAAGGATCACTTGAGCCCAGGAAGGTTGAGGCTACAGTGAGCCATGATTATGCCACTGCACTCCAGCCTGGGTGACAGAACAAGACTGTCTCAAAAAAAAAATAAACTAGAAATGAATCTCACTGGGCTGAAATCAAGGAACCAGCAAGAGTTATGTTTTTTGTTTTTTGCTTTGAGATGAGGTTTTGCTCTGTCACCCAGGCTGGAGTGCAATGGTGTGATCTCAGCTCACTGCAACCTCTGCCTCCCAGGTTCAGGCGATTCTCCTGCCTCAGCCTCCGGAGTAGCTGGGATTACAGGCGTGCACCACCATGCCCAGCTAATTTTTGTATTTTTAGTTGAGACAGGGTTTCACCGCATTGGCCAGGCTGGTCTCGAACTCCTGACCTCAGGTGATCTGTCCACCTCAGCCTCCCAAAGTGCTGGAATTACAGGCGTGAGCCACCACACCTGGCCTAGGAGTTGTGTTTTTATGGAGGTTCTAGAAGCAAACCCCTTCCTTGTCTTTTCTACAGACTGCCTACATCCCTTGGCTTATCCTCCCACCCGCATCTTCAAAGCCAGCAGTGGGTGGTCAAGCCTTTCTCATACTGCATCACCCTGAAACTGACTCTCCTGCCTCCTTCGTTCACCTACGAGGACCCTTGTAATTACATTGGGCTCTCTGGGATAATCCAGAATAACATTCCAAGATCCTGAACCTCCATAAAGTTCCATCTGCCATGTAATACATATTCGCAGGGTCCAGGGAGTAGGATGTAGACATCTTTTGGGGGCCGTTATTCTGTCTACCACAGTGGTGAAGACACACTACCTACCTGCTAGTCTCTGTATTTCCCTATCTGTGGGCGCATAAGTAGACTACACTTTCCAGCCTTCTTTGCAGTTGGGTGAGGCTGCGTGACCGTCTCTCCAAAGGAAGGTGAGCAGAACTATCTGTTACTGCCATGCGAGGTCCATGGGAATGTCCTCTTCATGCTCCTCCATTTTCTTTCCCCTTTCTTAGGACATTAGGGGATGGCAAAGCCTAGGTGCCTATCTTACTTTGTTTTCTGTTGCTTATAACGGAATACCTGAAACTGGACAGTTTATAAATAAAAAGAATTTATTTCTTACAGCTCTAGAGGCTGTCAAGTCCAAGGTCAAGGGGTCCCATCTGCTGAGTACCTTCTTGCTGGTGGGGACTCTCTGCGGTCTCGGGGTGGTATAGGGCATCATATGGTGAGGGGGCTCAGCGTGCTAGCTCAGGTCTCTTCCTCTTCTTAAGAAGCCACCAGTCCCACTCCTGTGATAATCCATTAATCCATTAACGCCTGAATAATGAGTCCATTCATGAGGACAGAGCCCTCGTGACCCAGTGATCGTCTCTTAAAAGCCCATTTCTCAATACTGCCACGTTGGCAATTAAGTTTCAGGATGAGTTTTGGAGGCGACAGACATTCAAACCAAAGCAGTGCCCGAATGACCAAAAAGAAAGGAACCACCCGCTGACCTGAACACTCATCCTGGACTGTCAAGTGAGCAAGAATTAGATTTCAGTAAGGTAGAGGTTATACTGTGGAGCCTTTGCATGTGGGCTCTGCTTCTTACGGTATTTAGTTGATCCTAACTAATATATAAACAAGCATATTTCTTCACAGGCCCTTGACTCCCAATATCCATTTCTCAGAAGACCTAACTGGCCCAAGACTGAGGCCGCCTGAGATGAGCAACCACAATTTCTTCCTCTCCCCTTCAATCACGTATTGACAACAGGTTCAGGGCAGGTACAACACTGAGACCTGCAGATGCCTCCTTCCTTTTACTTTCTTTCTCGCTGCCTTTTGTGATTCAGCACCCATCCTTCAACTCTACGGCCCTCACCGCCTTCGCCAACTTTGTTCCGTAGGGCTCCTTAGCTTCCACTTTCAAACTTGCTGGGCTTGGCCCCGGTGTTGTCAGGCTTCCCTTCACTCTGCGGTGCTATCTCACGGTTCCTCGATTCCTCTGCGTCCTTCACCGTCAAACTTCATGGACCAGTAGCTGACCTTGTGGGCCCCACTTTTCTCCTGCTGCCGCCCTCCCGTCCTCTTTCCTCCATCCACTCAAGTTTCTACTTTGCTTATCTAGCCGGATTTACTGAGCCTCTCCTTGGTGCTGGGGAGAAGGCAAGAGTGAGAGGGTCCGTTTTGCTGCTTCCATCCAGCATAGACCGTCAGGTCCTTGTGAGGTCAGGGAATCCACACTGATGGGGAAGCCCCGGGGAGGGGAGGGAAGAGGAGGGAAGCAAGGAGAGAGGAACCCAGGGAGCACAGCCTGTCTGGTCCTGGGGTTCTGGGAAAGACAAAGAGGCACAGTTAGAGCCGGCAGCTGAGGGCTGAGGCCGGGTAGGGGTTAGCCCAGCAAAGGACGAAAAGGAAAAGTTGCAGGTGGAGACTCCGGTGGAGAAAGACCGATCTGGAAGGCACCAGCTTGTGCACGTGGCAACTGAGGTCAAGGACGTGCCTGAGAGAGAGGAGGAAAGCGCCCTGGGCACCGGGTAGGGGTTTGGAGGTCGCGAATGGAGAAGAGTTGTTGGGCAGGTCCGGGTACCCGTAGCCAGAACCCCAAGGGCGTGCACAGTTCGGCGTCGCTGCCCCCGGGCGGCCCCGTCCCCTGGATAACGCCCCCTGGATGCCCCGCCCCCATGGATGCCCCGCCCCCTGGCGGCCCGGCCCGAAAGCCCGCGCGCGGCGCTGCGAGGTGCTTCCGGGAAGCCGCGCCCCCTGCGGGGCACCTGTGCGCTGCTCCGAGAGCCGCCCGGGCTGTGACGAACAGGCCCGTTCTAATTTACAGAAACACCACGGACCGAGGCAGGAGCATCGCTTGAACCCGGGAGGCCGCGGTCGCAGCGAGCCGAGATGGCGCCGTTGCACTTCAGCCTGGGCAGAAAGAGCGAAACCCCGTCTCAGAAAAAAAACAAAAAAAACACAGGACTGACACCGGGAAGCTGGGTGACGGCGCCCACGGCTCCTCTTCTCCCGGCCCCGTGTCCAGAAGATTTCTCCCCGAGCCGCCCTGGCTCCCGCAAGCGGAGGAGAGGGCGGGACGTGCCGGGGCTGCGAGCTCAGAGGCCCTGGGTGGGATCTGCTCTCCCGCCATCCCGAGGGCCGAGCTGACCTGAGGCCTCCCCGCAGAGATCCCCGAGGTGGAAGTGGGAGCGGGCTGTGGGAACCGCAGAAGAACGCGGGGCGCAGAACGACCTCGTCCACCCGCGATAAGAGGCTTCCGCAGCAGCACCGTTTCCACAGCCCAGAGCCGTGTTTCTAGGGTGACGGCAGCCCCAGTAAGTTCCTGCCCCGGAAAGCTCAAGGCTGTCAAAAGAACTGTTTGCTCCAGCGGGCACATGAAGGCGAGGGTAGGAGGCTGCCCGTGACGCCCGTCAGCAAACCCAGGCCGCCTAATCACGTGACCCGCCCTCGTCTCCTTTTGTGGAGAAGGACCCTCTTCCCTATGGCAGGCTACTTAAGGGCCCAGCCGCCTCTACACACTTCCCTGTGGCAAGCCACTGAAGGACCCTCTTCCCTATGGCAGGCCATTTGAGGCCCCGCTACCGCTACACAAATGGAAGTTGAGTTCAGTTCATGCTGGACCCTCTTCCCTATGGCAAGCTACTTAAAGGCCCAGCTACCTCTACACACTTCCCTGTGGCAAACCACTGAAGGAGACCTGCTGTTACTGCTTTAGCTGCTGTTCTGCTTAATCTCAGACAGCTGGAAGGTGGTGTTCCGCCCTCACCCAGCCACCCAAGTAAATTGGAATGATGACTGACTGAGACCCCAATGGTGGTGGCTTCGACAAGATGGAAGTCTGAAATGGAGGCCCAGGGCTGCCTCGATGGCCCTGTAGTCATCAGGAAAGGGGCTCCTATTATCTTGTTACCCACTCCCCTCTTGTGCCCCTTCCTTCCGGTGGTCCAAGAAGGCTGCCCCAGATCCCGCCATCTGGCCTGCATTCAATCAGCAGAAGCTTCCTGGAGGAGCAGGAGGAGGCACTGTGCTTGCATCACATACCAGTGGCCAGAACTTGGCTTCAGGGAAGCTCAGGAAATAGGATCCGGGAATCCATGAGACCTCCCCAAACTGCAATAACAGAGTCAACAAGATAATGGCTTAAAGATGGAGAGAACAGTTGATAGGTCACACAAGTTGTTCCACGATAATTCTTGTGTCAGAAGGGGAGGCTGAATACCAGGACCCTCTTCCAGCCCCTCCACTCTTGAGTACATTTCAGAGGGCTCTGGCAGGGTGAGGGGGTCTTGGCAGTGTCACAGAGAATAAAGATCTAGCACACCCATTGTGGAGACATTTCATGGGGACAACCCAGTGACTTGACTTGAAGCAAAATGGGATTTTCCAACCTTGAGATTCTTATTTTCTGTGGTATGTGTGTGGAAGAAGTACAAAGGTGGGGGTTGGGAGGAACAGCAAATGAGCTGTGTGTATGAGGAGCTGGGGCCTGGCTCCTAACAATATCACCCACCCCCTCCCCAGGCTTTCCTTGGGGCAGAAACACTGGCCAGGGCTTTCAGTGTCAGCAACAAGATATAGAGGTATAACCAGTGCTTTTGGCTAAGTCACATCAC